AGCTGTGATGTTCTTGTGTGTGTGGTTGTGGACTAAATAAGACCATAGGATTAACTATAGATGCTCTGGGGGGGATATGAAGTCAAAAATAGGTCAAAGAAAGATAATAATGATAAGTGATGATGCTTTCAGATGCGAAAGTCATCTCATCTATGTTACTAATCATTCATATTAGTCTATCTAATGTTGTTATTAGATTATCACTTGTTAATACAGTGAAAATGTATGTACTCAATGTATAACAAAGGATTTTCAAAAAAGTTTTAACAGGATTGATGTAATCATTTAACTGGACAACATTGGGAGAGTAATTTTTATACCATAGATGAAAATAGAACAGAATCACTTTTACAAAAATGATGGTAGACTTTCAATTTTAATGTGAAGTGGATAAGCCAAGAACAACGTTTTTTAGGACTAAACTATTATTATTAATCTATAACTGAGTGGCTAAGTGATAATCTTTCAAACTGTGATACAAATTTGAATTCCACAGAGAGCATCATTTTCTTAAATGTTACAAGTACACATTCTAAGATAAGTGACAGAACGCATGAGACCTGTATTCGAAATTTATTGCTAATCATCAAACATCAAAATATAATGAGTACGATATTTGATCAGTTAAACTATGACCACATTGTAACTTGATCAATAAAACTCAGTCATCACTAAGGACAAGACAAATATGACGTTTGTGAATACTCACTAATCAACATGAACTTTCTATTCCATAATTTAGATTATTGATGACAGATCCCATCAGAATTATTTTGTTCAGCAAAACTAATTGAGACAAAATGAGTAAACTGAGAAGTGATAAGTAATAGAAGAAGTAAGTAGATTATATAAAATGTTCATCTGACCATAACAATACGCATTTTTTTAAATGTTATTGAGTTCTGGAATGTTTAATTTCAGATGTTTCTTGGTTGTTCTTGATAATATTCATAGCTCCTACTTTATGCAGATATCTAGAACAATAACCAAAGCTCTGAGATTAAACCATCTAGCTAAAAAAGAAACTGACAACAGCGAAACTATCCTCCTGAGCTTCAAATTTTCTCGAAAGTGAATTCAATTTTAACAACGGCATTGCCTGTAGAACATTCTGTTTACATATTTTTTTTATTATCCTTGTTAATTCTACTATAAGAACATTAAATTTCAGTTAGATACTTCGTAGAAAATCTCAAATGACTTGAGGTTTCAAATACTAAGGTTTGTGCTATTTAAACGCTGATTTCACTATGAGTGAAAATCGTACATATGACTTTGGCGAGACTGTAATTTATGAACGACCTTTAACAAGGATCAGGTGACCTTAAGAAATATTAGTCGATCAGAAAACAGTAATTATAGTAAAAATGTATTATACAAAACCAAAGAATTAAAGTGAATACACTTCTTTTACATGGTTCAAAAACTTTTCAAGGTTAGAAAGTGGTTCAGAGGTTCTAACATCGTAATGCATGGGATATAGGAACTCATCCACACGGCTTCATAATAGTAGGCCTCTGGAGCCATGATAAGGTCATAAAAACTCTTTCAGTCTCAACCACATAGCTTCAACATTGTTTGTGAGCACTCCGGTTGTGTAAGCTTGTTATTTTTATTACGCATATGTCTCTAAAATACTCATGCCACTTAACAACCGAAGCTTCAGTAACATCTGAGAATGTTGCAGCCAATGTTAATGGTGCTTTTATTATACGATTCACAACAATGATTATACTTTCCTTTAGTCTCTATTTGGATCGAGAGAAAAAAGTTCCTATTCTAATAGACTTCTTCCTCTAGGTCATTTGATTACCACAATCACAAATAAAGGAACTTCTTAGTAGTCCCATTTGTGGTATCCGCTTATTTATCACGTTTTCTCTAGAATCTTCTATGAACCGATCGTACGTAAGCACCAGGTACTGAAATTGACGCCATGACCTTGAAATCTTTGAAGCGCTTCTGATTGGTTCGTCCATAAATTATAGTCTTGCCGACTATTCAAGTAAACGTTCCTATCGTATCGCTTTCGTGTCATGAACCGAGATAAAAATAGACGGAGTATTCATAAAAACATGTAGTTTCAGATTATATAATGATTAATCGCTGAGAAGTAATTAATTTCATGTTTACCTGATCTTCAGTGATGACCAAATTCTGTCTATTCAATTATAACTTGACCTTTAATCGAAATGACTTAATATCCTATGCATCATATCTTGACGTAAAGTAATTAGAATTAGTCAAAAGAGGACACTTGTCAACAGAGTGTACCTGGAACCTTGAATAAAGTGACGCTTCCTGGTGGATTCGAGCGCATACCACCCAGTTTTGTAATATGATACGATACAACTGAGCTATTTAAGTAGCGCACAAATTCCTGTATAATTGAAATATTTACATCACTTGATCACTGGATAGTAACGAACGTCATATTTATCTAATCTTTAGTAATTGTTCCAATGCTATCACCCGAGTTGTAGTGAAGTGATTTATTCAAATGACTACTCAACATAGCATGTATAGCATTATGATATTAGGTGGTTGCCAACGACAGTAATACCCAAGTTCATTACTTCTTAATTGTCTCTAACAATCTAAAGTTTCCAAAATGGAATAAAACAGCTGATTTTAATCAACTGAGTATAGGTTATCAAGTTTTTAATAATTGCTAGCAACAACAAACAAACAAACAACCACAGTATCCATTTACCATGTGTTAGTAAACCTAGAAAAAGTTACATATAAGCAAACCTTTCTATATCACAATTGTCAATAACTAATTGGTACATTTAATGTTATGACACGTGTGTTAATCATGGAACTAGTTAACTGATAAAATAAATTAAATCATTTAACAACACAAACCGATGTAAGTTTAACTTAATATACTTGAGAAAACATCAGACATCAGAATATACATATGAAACAATATTTTTCACTTCTATACACGTACAAAAGATAAACGATGCAAATTTGTAATGTGTTTTCTCTTAAAACAATACAACTATAGTTACGTGATTTGATTACAACTTTATATTAGAGAAGAAGAAGAAAGAATTTAATGGAAAGAAGTAGAAAGACAAGTAGATAGATAGATAGATAGATAGATAGATAGATAGATAGATAGATAGATAGATAGATAGATAGATAGATAGATAGATAGATAGATAGATAGATAGATAGATAGATAGATAGATAGATAGATAGATAGATAGATAGATAGATAGATAGATAGATAGATAGATAGATAGATAGATAGATAGATAGATAGATAGATAGATAGATAGATAGATAGATAGATAGATAGATAGATAGATAGATAGATAGATAGATAGATAGATAGATAGATAGATAGATAGATAGATAGATAGATAGATAGATAGATAGATAGATAGATAGATAGATAGATAGATAGATAGATAGATAGATAGATAGATAGATAGATAGATAGATAGATAGATAGATAGATAGATAGATAGATAGATAGATAGATAGATAGATAGATAGATAGATAGATAGATAGATAGATAGATAGATAGATAGATAGATAGATAGATAGATAGATAGATAGATAGATAGATAGATAGATAGATAGATAGATAGATAGATAGATAGATAGATAGATAGATAGATAGATAGATAGATAGATAGATAGATAGATAGATAGATAGATAGATAGATAGATAGATAGATAGATAGATAGATAGATAGATAGATAGATAGATAGATAGATAGATAGATAGATAGATAGATAGATAGATAGATAGATAGATAGATAGATAGATAGATAGATAGATAGATAGATAGATAGATAGATAGATAGATAGATAGATAGATAGATAGATAGATAGATAGATAGATAGATAGATAGATAGATAGATAGATAGATAGATAGATAGATAGATAGATAGATAGATAGATAGATAGATAGATAGATAGATAGATAGATAGATAGATAGATAGATAGATAGATAGATAGATAGATAGATAGATAGATAGATAGATAGATAGATAGATAGATAGATAGATAGATAGATAGATAGATAGATAGATAGATAGATAGATAGATAGATAGATAGATAGATAGATAGATAGATAGATAGATAGATAGATAGATAGATAGATAGATAGATAGATAGATAGATAGATAGATAGATAGATAGATAGATAGATAGATAGATAGATAGATAGATAGATAGATAGATAGATAGATAGATAGATAGATAGATAGATAGATAGATAGATAGATAGATAGATAGATAGATAGATAGATAGATAGATAGATAGATAGATAGATAGATAGATAGATAGATAGATAGATAGATAGATAGATAGATAGATAGATAGATAGATAGATAGATAGATAGATAGATAGATAGATAGATAGATAGATAGATAGATAGATAGATAGATAGATAGATAGATAGATAGATAGATAGATAGATAGATAGATAGATAGATAGATAAGTGATCTTGGTGTATATTATTGGGATTTCTCCTTCCTCCTCTAATTTACTATTGTTTGCTTAAGCTTACATAACAATTTAACTTTTTACCTTAGTAAGAAATAAGTAATCATATCAAATCTTACATTTATCAGCCTTTTGTAAAGTAATCCTGTACGTTGTAGAGTACTATTGTCATTATGATTATTTCACCATAAACGGCTTTTCAACTCAAGACCTAAAGGTTTTGAGTTCAATTTCTGGCATTGTCAAAAATTCAGACTGTTGATAAGCCCCATACTAGCATGAAACATCTCTCGATTGTTTCTTGATTTTCAAAGGATTCATAAAATCAGTCAGTGATGACAACTATGAATTAACGTTACCTAGAGAAATACTAAACATGTAAGATAGAACAATTGTCGTAAATTTATAGGTTTTCAGTCGTTCTCAAAGCTAAGACACTGGGTGATTTTCGCTTATTCGATTCTTAATACCTTTCTGAATCTATTATATATATGAACATATTCATACATAGATACAATAACTAACCTTTCAAATTCTGTGAGGCGAGATGAATCACGAAATCCTTTAGCGAATGGATTACAGTCAATTTTCAGTTTCGTTATCTTGAAAAGAAGAAGAAGAAAAAGAAAATTACACTAATTAACTGGACTTTAAAAAGTTTGTCAATAACATCTGTGGTTGAGACCAGTCAAGAAAGTATATCATGTTGTACCCTCTTCAAGCGTCGCTTGAAATGATCTTGAATCTGCATGCTACTTAGTAACCAATGAGCAAATTAATCTTTTTATCAAGAAGCGGAGTTCAGATTATATATTTTGTGAATTTTCAAGATTTATAAACCATGTTTACCACACTAAAATTAGTTATTGTTTTCTATGCAGGAGATCCCTAATTCAAGAACAGTTTGTGTCTGGGTTCACCTAAAAGGTTACAAATCGTTTTATAAATGAGATAATGACATTGGAACTGTTCATATCCTGAGGTTTTTAATGCAATTTGTACTATATATATAACCTTACCTATAATTCCGCCATTAATAACGACATGGTTTGACTATAAAAGTATAGCATGAGGGTAAGTATAAACGATTCTCAGAATAATAGTATGATGTTGAAACCACTTTACAGCCAGTCAACAGAAAGTCTTTATAACTCAAAAGTATTTCTTAACAGAACTAATTAACTTTATTAAAATCTGATGGTTTTAGGAAGTATATTTGTTCTTCAAGGTTCATTACCAATTTTCCCATCTTAATTTTGTATAACTAACCCTAAGTATCCTCATCAAATTGTGCGCCAATTTATTCAGATACTAAGAGTTTCTTTCTGTTACTTTTTAATAACCATGAATAGTTTTAAAGAAAATTCATCATTATCTGAAAAGTCCCTATTAATGTGTTCCCTGGAGAGTTATGGAGATGAAGTTAAATCAGGACCATCATTATTGCCATATTTATATTCCTAATACTGATAGGCGGAAAAATCGTGACCTGTTCTAACATTCCTACCTCATCTGGTCACTTATTATTCGGTAAACAACTTGTAAAATAATTTCACTAAAATCACAAATAGATCTAAGTTAGACAGTCACTTAAGACCCGGAAACACTGGACAGCCGTTTAGGAGTTCTAGTGAAAAGCTGTAACCAGCGGAGCTAAACCGTATCGAGTGTAAAGCACTTTCTCACTGAAGACAATCGAATATGGTCGCACAGTGTCACGAATTAATTAAAGTTAGACATTAAAATCGTTAAATGCGAATCCAATGGTTTAGAGGTCAAACATTCGCACACGATCGATGGTTCTGTGTTCGATTCCTGGGTTAGGGGTGATAGATATAAACTGTTGGAGAGTTCCATCCTGGGACAAAATGGCTGCTCATCACTCCCAGTTTTTCAATAACGATTTAACTTAGATTGATTCGTAATTTTGATGAGATCAAGAAATCCCCACAACCTTTTACTGACTATAAAACAATTTTTGTGAGTTTATTATAAAAAAAGTAAACTGAAACAAGAACTAATTGGTTCATCTGTTACGCAAAACCCATGTATCAAATGCGGCAACTTGATACTTTTCACACTGTCATTTCTTTTTTAAATTTCTAATGTTTTAAACACTATGCAAAGGTAAATTCACTTAGTATTGTTTGCTTGTTTGAAGCGAACGGTACTGCGACCGAGTCCCGGAGAAACATCAACTCTGGGATACAGATACATCCAGCTGACGAGTCCCAAATATGACGAAACTGCTAGCCACCATCCATCTTTGCTTATAAAACTATGCAAAAGTATTTTTATCATACATTTTACGTGATGTGAGGTAAACGTCATTTGTTTTTGAACGCCATCTAAACAATCTAAAATGATTTTCTTGATTCTGATTGGCTGATCCTTTTAGTATACTTTTACCGACCTGATTTAAAGTTAACTTTATACAACGGAATGATAAATTAACTCTTATTGATGTATGTTCCAAATAGAATATGCAACAAAAGAAGAATTTCACTTCGAAATCATCTCATTTTTACTATAATATAACACAGTAAACATTTTCTTATCACCATTAAACGATTTAGGCACTCATTCTATAAAAAGATGAATCAAAATAGATAGATTGTAGTGAAAAGTGAAACCTTCAACGTATATCACGTCCTATTTGAATAGTGAGTTATCAGTCCTAAAGTGAAAGATATTAGGTTTAAGCCTTTTCATGAATATCAACAATTGGACATAGATGTATCCAGTTGACAAGTTCAAATAAGATGAAAGTCATGGATATAAGTACTAGTCACAATCCATCTCTTCTAAATAACTTGTAATAAATTGATTATATGAAGATAATCTTCGATTTAAGCACCCAAGTAATATCGCAACCTCCACACAAACCGAATGATGAAATGTAGTGTACATATATTTGGTGCCACCTTGTACCAATATTTAAATGTTTAAATGATAATTATTATTATCAGTATAGGGTTATGGAGATTATTAAGTCTTTGATTGAGATCATGAACCGATTGATGTTAGATCATCATCGAAAACCTGGAAGCACTGGATAGCCGTTTCGTTCTAGTGTAGGATTCCTCAGCAGTGCGCATCCACGATCCTGCCTCGCAAGATTCGAACCTAGGACCAATTGGCCTCGTGCGCGAACACTAAGCCTTTAGACCACAGAGCCAGCATTCAACAGTGTTAATGTCTAATCTCAACCAATTCACGAAGTTGCATGATTATTTTCCATTGTACTAAGGTAGATACCTGTCTCTACCCGCAAGAATGAAGGCCTTGAGTTTGAATCCTGCGAGCGGGATCTTGGATGTGGATTGATGAGGAATCTCACAATAGGACGAAACGGCCGTTCAACTCTTTCAGATATTTCATGGTAATCTAACATCAATCAGTTCATAAATCTCAATCAAAAACAATAATAAGTTTAAGTTTAAAATAAAAATTATAACTTACTAATTGATTTTGATAAGCAGTAACAGCAATGAAAATAGTTTCTGGAAATGTGAATGTTTTAATATTTTCAGTTGGTAATATATCTAATGATTTAGGTAATGAAGTTGTTAATAATGAATTAATGATGAATTGATTATTACTATTGTCGTTATGATTAGTTGATAATTGAATTAAATGTACTCTCGGTTGATATTTATGCATTGAATTTAAAATAATCTATAAAGAATAAAATATTCAATTAAACAATTAGGGAGAATGATATCAAGAAAGAAAAGTTATCTTATATTAATAGTTGAGATCATGGATCAATTGAAGCTAGACTATCATGGTGCCCTCAAATGCCCTGGTATGGACGAAAGTGGGATGAGCCCGCCCTCCCCTCTTGAAATGCTCTCACACGGTCACACGTATACAGCCTCTGCCAGGAAAGTCCTATTCACTGCCTTCTCGCAGCATTACTGTTGTTTACGAAATTGAGAGGACGAAAAGCGAATGTTTGGCGCTTTAGCCGGATCCCAAACCAATGGTGCACATGGGCTCCAGTATCCCGAAGGAACAAATGGTGTATGAACCAATCGTTGGTCACCGACTACCATGGGACTGTATCTCCTGACGATGCTCCACTGCCTTGTGGGTCAGACCTTTAGGTCGAGGGCTCCGTGTGTGGCCCCCTAAGAAAACCACCTGCTTCGGTCTGAGCACCCGGGCAGTATCCCAGCCCTCACACAAATCGAATGATTTATGTGGCGTATATCTATTTGGTGCCTCCTTGTACCAATGTTTATGTGTTTAAATAAATAAATAAATAGACTATCATGGAAAACTTGGAAGCTCAATGGTCTATGAGTTAAGCGTTCACTCACGAGATAATAGGTCTAGGGTTCGAATCTCATGAGATGGGATAATGGATGCGCACTGCTGAGGTGTCCCAAAGTGAGACGAAACGGCCATCCAGTGCTTTCAGGTTTTCCATGATGGTCTAGCTCTGATTGACTCATTATCTCAACTCTTAAAATTACTATAATATCCACGAAAACCCCTTCTGATAGTTATCTTATTGATGAATTCTTTAAAACAATGCCTACGTTTACAAGAAGAAAATTAACAGGATAGTTCAAAAATACAATAAAGAATACATGTAGAACATAATAAAAAAATTAATGAATTTGTTCAAGATTATCAATAAACAGTTCATTTCCGTTCGCTTGGTGTTGTTTTACTTGTATCTTCCCATTGTTCTTTACGAGTGCAATTGATCAGTCTCTTGTTAGCATATGTGCATCCTGTTCAGATTGCCTCGATATTGCTTAAAAAGCTTATGACTTAAGGTAATATCGAGGCAATCTGCACAAGATGCGCATATGCCAATAAGAGACTAATCAATTGTAGTCCTAAAAAAAATAACAACACTAAGCGAATTTAAACTTCACCCCATTGCACAAGCTAGTGGTTATCACGACTCAATAGCTAAGTGAATAACGCGATGACGTTTGAAGTAATTGGTACTGCGTTTGAGTCACAGAGTGAGTATCAACTCTGAGATACAAGCACATCCAGCTGACGAGTCCCAAAGAGGACGAAATGCGAGTTCTGGATTCCACTGCTAGCCACTATCTATCTTTGCTTAAAAAGTTCATTTCCATATCACTCAGCTTTATATAAGAAAATAGTTGATAATAATAACCGTCAGTTGACTGGGTAATAATTTGATCTTGTTTTTTTTTCTTCAATGAACTGATGTGTCCTCCTTTTCCTTTCTAAACTTCCAACCATTTTCTTTGTTATGTCACCGAATAAAATCCTTTTGATATTCTCGAACTATCAAGTTAAGCAATTATCACAAGAATCTTCTTATAGAGTTTTAATTCTTAACTAATTCGTTATCTTACTCAAAATGTATAAAAGTCTTTTACTCACGCGAAATCACTTCATTTAATTAGTTAATTGTTTAAATCAAATAATGTTATAGAGAGATTATCTATTTTGAGTAGATGACATTGGATGTACAATGAGAATATTTGAACACTGTCCTACATGACTACTTAAAGAGGAACACAAATCGATCGACAGTTCAATTAAAATCACATTACACCACGTAAATCGTCGTCCAATATCTTCTACAATGTAGGAAAAACTGGTTTAAAAGAGGTTTGTATAATGAATTTGTGCGCAGTTGAGTCTATAGTAATTCACTATTTTAAGTTTGATCCCTTTGTACAAAAGAGTAATGTTCAATCCTTTATTCTTCCAAAGTCTTAGAACCTCTTCGAATTTTACAAGTCATAGGTGCTAATTATTACCTTCTTTTCCTTTGTCAATGTAGATAGTTATCGTTTCCCAATTGATTGATCACTGGGTGGTGATCAATGTCATGTGTGTCAAGTCCTTAATAGTGCAGAACGAATCCTATCGATTAAGTTACAATGTGGCCATTAGTCTAGGTGACTCGAAATTGCTTGAACTATGTTGAGATAAGATGGTGATTGAAGGTAGTCAACAGGTAACCCTGGACCCAGGTTTCGTGTTACTTGGCACTCGTCAGCAAGGTGTACCTGTAATCTTGAGGCAACTGATGCTCCCTGACGGATTCGACCCCGTGACACACATGACATTGATCACTACTCAGTAATCAATCAATTGTAAATAAATTTTCGTCTTACAGGAGATTAGTTACTGCCCGGCTAGCTCAGTGACAACGTCTACGCCCCCAAGATTACAGGTACACTTTGCTAAATAACCCTAAACCTAAGTCGAGTAAGGTTTTCCTGAAATCACTACCACCTTGAAAATACCAAAATCATATAATCTAGCTCATTTCGAATGAATCTAGTTATCTTTAAACTAAATTTTATAATTGTATATGACCGAAATATCGATTGTGCAGAATAAAAGAAGTAAACTGTTATGGTTTAGAGTAATCTCAAAATTACTAACAACTGAGATATTCTTCTAATACGAAAGTGGATATATTCAAACTCGATATACTACAAGATTGACATACAATACTACAACTATGATTCTCCACACAATATAAGAGAAAAATCACGAATTCAGAGATAAACTTAATGTTCAAAAATTTTAAAATTATGATGAAATATGATTAGCTTTTCAAAGAGGCGTTTTTTTCTTCTAAAACATTCCATGGACCTAGATCCCTTGATAAATTAAATCAGAGTATGAATAACAAGGTTTGGTTAATTATGCTCTGTTAAATAGAATGGAACAATTCAGTATATACAATGATTGACAATAATCTTAGGATATTATTTGTTTCAATCGTTGAGATCATAAGTTAATCAAAGCTAGACCATCATCGAAAACCTGGAAGTACTGAACGGCCGTTTCGTCCTATTGTGGGACTCCTCAACAGTGCGCATCCACGACCTCAACCATTAAAATTACTATAATATCTACAAAACCCCTCTGATATTATTTAATTAACAAAAACAAGACCCACGACCTTCCCCCCTCCCGTTGTGAGACCCGAACCCAGGACCTACTGGTTTCGCGCACGAACATTTAACCACTAGACCACTGAGCCGGCAACCAATGATGTTAATACCTAACTTCAGCTAATCCACTAAACTGAGCGACACATCCACCATTGTCATCATTGAGTTACTATCTCACAACTGAGGAGTCCCACAATATGACGAAACAGCCGTCCAGTGCTTCCAGGTTTTCCATGGTGGTCTAGCTTCAACTGATTCGTGATCTTAACCATTGAAATTACTATAATATCCACAAAACCCATTTGATATTAAAAACTAGATCGTTTAAAATCTTCTTATCATAAATAACAAAATTAAAAAGATAACATAACTTACATAACCTTGTCTATCTAATACATTATTGGTTAATTTTAATTTTTCAAATGATACTGTTTGTCGCATTAATTGTTCACCAGTAAATGGTGAATCTGGATGTACATAATGTCTTAAACGTAATTCTGGATCTGCTTTACCAGCTACTAACCAACTTGATCGATGATATGCATAACGATATCGTTTACAATCAACTGGAATAATATCCATTAAAACTAAATATTTTGCTTCCGATTCTAATCCACTGAATGATGCACGAATTACTGGGAACATTCGTCTATAGATTAATTTTTTTCAAAAAAAAAATAAATAAATAAAGGTTTTAAAGTTTAAACAATAATTTATATTTTTAAGTATGTATTACACGATTGATCTTTAATTTCGAGAATAAAAATTCTAATAGTTCAGATCATGAATCATTTAAAGCTAGATAACCATGGGAAACCTGGAAGTACTAGACAGCAGTTACGTCCTAGTATGGGACTCCTCAGCAGTGCTCATCCGCAATCCCGCCCCCGTGAGATTCGAACTCAAGACCTACAGTTCGCGCATGAGACCAACAGGTCCTGGGTTTGAATCTCGAGAGGCGGTATCATGGGTACGCATTGCTGGGGAGTCCCACAGTAGAACGAAACGGCCGTTCAGTGCTTCCAGGTTTTCCACAGTGGTCTAGCTTCAATTAACACATTATGTCAACTATTAAAATTAATAAAAATTCTGTTTCTGTGCTCTTCTAGAATATTCATATGTTTAACCTATAAGTGAACTTTTGAATAATGTTAATTCTTCCATATTATGATCTATTATTCATAGTATTATTCTATCTTCACATGTTAATATAATTTATGCAAGAGATACTTCTAATGTAAAGTGTATATACATGTTTTGTTTTAATGATTAGTACCATGGTTTTAAGTTATAAGCAGTTGAGGTGAATTCGTGAAATAAATGAATTCATGTTATTCTAAGCAAAGATGGATGGAAGCTAGTAGTGGAATCCAGGACGCGCGTTCCGTCCCATTCGGAACTCGTCAACTGGATGTAGCCGTATTCCAGAGTTGATGTTCAATCTGTGACCCAAACGTAGTACTATTCGCTTCAAATATTATAGTGTTATCCACTTAGCTACTACGTCGTGGGTTCGATTGCTAGCCATCATCCATCTTTACTTATAAAACTTAAGTAATGTAATAAATCATTCAAGGAATTTAATAGTTTCATACATTCATAATAGAAAGAATCATGATCAAATGATGACAGGAATAATAATGATAATAATAATTCCTAACTCACCGGCCAGATTTTGTAATGATCATTTCAGTGCCTAATTCATTGAATTTCTCCCATAACTCTTTAGTTTCTAAACGACATTTAATTTGTGCAAGTTTATCATTTTCTAATATTTTTATTTTTTGATTTCTTTGTTGTTTGTCATCAATTGACCATTTTGTTGTTAAATGAGTATTGGATAAATGTAATTCCTCTGATCTGGATGTATTACTCGATTGATTTAAACAATTACTGTTATGAATAAATGAAAAGATTCATAGAAAATGAAATGTTTAATGAATTATTTAATAAATATTATAAAGAATGATCATTTTATTTGTAAATAGTATTCATCGTAGACTGAACTCATTTACAGTATCGTAAAGTACCAAGGAACACTCGGAAACAGCTTCTTCTCAGTACAGAATACATTGGTAATGAGTATCTGTAAACCTAACAGAAACTGAACTGTTTCACTGCTAAGTTGTCCGAATTCTATCAGTCATAACTTAGTGATAGAATTTCAATAAAATCATTTCATCCATTACATTTAATTATAATAACCTATACTATGTGAATTTGTGGTGAACAAGAATTTAGTCTGATAATCAGGTCATAAGTTCATTGAGAAATAAATGATCTGAAAATCTCTTATGATACAACTGCTCATCTGTTAGATAATATATAATCATATTCTACTCTACTATCATTGAATATCATTTCATTTGAACTAACCGATCAATAATTCGATCCCATGAACAGTTAGTTACCTATTAGTATAGGGTTATAGTTATCTTTTGATTACAACATATCTATTGACAGACACTCTTTGTTTTCACCATTTTACGAATCAAAACATTCATATTAACAAACTTTAAAACAGCTTTCCATAGAATGTATACATTGGGTATTGTCACACGTACGTATATCTACTTTGTTATGTGACTCGTATATCAAGTACATATCAGTGTATCTGTCTGTAATCCTCGACTTGATTATAAGAGTTAGTACAGTTAACTAATCGCTCAAAACGAAATATTTTATGTGAGGCTACAAACTGAAGCCATTGAATATGATTTAAGTGATTCAATCATTTCACTATAGGTACCTCTGAAATCACGATATTAGAATTGAACCTGCTAACTCTAACTAAAATTTGTTATAACAACTACTGACTAGTGAATATGAAATTAGTTTAGGTTGGTTTTGTGATACTTAGCTATGTAGATTAGATTTAGCGAAAAGTGATCAAACTCATTAAAAATAAGCTTCAGATCAGTATAACATGAATGCAATTTTTAATTTCAGAAGGGTTTTGTGGAGATTGTAGTAATTTCAATAGTTGAGATCATGAGTCAATTGAAGCTACACCACCACGGAAAGCCTGGAAGAACTGGATGGCCGTTTCGTCCTATTGTGGGACTCCTCAGCAGTGCGCATCCACGATCCTGTCTCATGAGATTCGAACCCAGGACCTATCGGTCTTGTGAGGACCTATCGGTCTTGTGCGCGAGTGCTTAACTCCCAAACCACTGAGCCGGCATCCAGTGGTGTTGATGTCTAATTTTAACCAATTCACGAAATCGATTGACACATCGACCACGAGGCTGGGCCGTGGATGCTCACTACTAAGCAGTCTCACAGTAGGACGAGACTGCCTTTCAGTGCTTCCAGGTTTTCCATAGTGGTCTAACTTCAATTGACTCATGATCTACACTATTGAGATTACTATTTTTAATTGTTGCTTATAAGTTAATATTAATTAAATAAACCCAAGTTGGTTGAAACATTGAATACACATTACTGGGAAGTCCCATACTAAGACGAGATAGCTGTTCAGTTTTTCCTGATTTTCTATAGTACACCGATTGAGATCAATCTTTAAAGAATATAATCTACACTTTAAACAAACTTCCACACAACTACATCACACATAACATCAGCTTTTTACTATAATACAACTTACAGTCGTGTGTATTTCAATGATTTCGGACATTTTGATCGTCTAGATTTCCCAGATGAATTAGTGATAGTAGTAGTTGTTGTTGTAGCATTACGAATACATTCTGTTGAATTTGATTCAACATCAATTTGTTGATCCATTTTAGATTTCTTCTCATTATTATTATTGTTGTTGTTTGAATTATTCATGATATGAAATCGAGTGGAATATTGTTGAGTCTTCCGATTATTCATTACATCATTCTCTTTAATATGATAATGATTATTATTATTATTATCATTATTATAGATACAGTTTGTTGTTGTTACTGTTATTCCAGTATTAATTGAATTGTCGTTGATATGACTCTCAGATTTATGCATATTCATATTAGTTATTGGATTACAATTATCATAGTAACTAGAATACTGGAAAGGAAATGACAAATTTACAGTAGGTTTGATTAAATCAAATGTACAGTTATCATTATTTCTATTGATAAATTTATTGTCTATGGAAAGATTTAATGGTGTTACAGATGAAAGACAATGAATATTATTTAATACTTCCCCACCGTCATCATCAGTAGCATCGTCAAGGTCATTGATCGTTGTATTCAATTCATTAGATAGTTGAAATTCTTCATTCAGATTGGATTTCTTTACTGTTTTTTCCTTAAACTCGTTTTCATTCATATAAGATTGTCGATTTACACTTGATTGTAATGAGTGATGAGGGCTTTTTGAAGAATCTAACAGAGGAGAAAAAAAGCAGAGTGAGTAATACAAAACGTGCTGTATAAAATAGTACAACCACTGATCCATGTAAGACCGAATTATCCATAATTTTCACACTTTAAATCATGAACTAATATTAGCTAGACCACTGTTGAAAACCAAGAAGCAGTGGACAGATGTCTTGTTCTAGTATGGTACTTCTCAGTAGTGCATATCCGCGACCACATGTCGGTGATGAGACAGTTATCCAGTTTACGCAACAGAAGATGGTCAGGAAATATCATTAATCGTCTATAAGTTAAGCGTTCACGATTTGAGTTCCAGGATCCTAGATTTGATCCTCAACCTGTTCGTGAATGTCCATTAGTAAGGAATGTTATACTAAGACAAGGTCAATGTCCGGTGACTTTTGGTTTGAAGTAGTAGTCTAGCTAAGATTAGTTCGTGATTTAAACTATGAAAATCTAACTATCTCCACAACCCCCACTCCTTTTACCAATATCCTTAATTTGTTTCCATTTGCCTTGGGAAAATGAATTTCTCACATGAAATAATACACATTATAACTTGAAACGACAGTTTTCTTTCACAATAATATGGGAAACTTGATTAATTGTTCCTTTCAGAGAGCTATCACACAATGTTTTATAATAGTATTCAAACAAATAACATTATGAACATCAGTTCAACGGATATCTTGTTAAATGAACAATAACATTTTAGTACTGTTAACTTTCATGTAGCTTTTTAGTATTTAAAATTGATCGAGTTTGATTTTAGTTTCCATGTTTGTTTCTTTCCTTATCACCTGTATGGAATGAAATAAAATATGTATACAACTTACTTAATCCTATAGTTTCTAATTGTGCAACTTCAATTTCCATCTTTTTCCCCAGTAAATACAACTGTAAATCTGTCTATAATCATTAGTTACATTCATTTCATTCATAAATAGGAATTATTTATGCTTTATTGAATCATCGAACTTTAGAGAGAGTGATTTTAAAAAATAATTAATTCGTTAAACGTGATTTATTAAAAGTGTTAAATCAGATTGGGGTGTATACTACTTATGTTGGCATAAGTAATATATAACACCAGTTAGAAATGGAATGCCTGGCAATAGAAGGTTGGAAAGATTTGATCGAAGAGAACGGGAACATAGAGTATTTGTTATGCAAATGAAGAAACAATGAAGTTTGAGACAATTGATGGACAATTTGCAAATGAAGTATTGAACGTATAGTTTTCACATTTACCAGAGAACTCTGTAATATTGTGTTTAAATGCATTTGATTGTCCCCACTCGTGTTCTCATCCATTAAAACAATATTTATATTCTTTAGAAAAAGTTCAAATATTGGTTTATCAGTAGACTGAATTCGTGACAGATTGATTTCATTTGTGGTCCCAATGAAAACTAAAGAGAAATAGACAGCTACTTTGTCCTAGTATGTCTTTTACTATCAATAAGTATCCATTGTCCTGTCAATGATAGAAATCAAAACCTCCTAGTTTCTTACTTACTTACGCCTGTTACTCCTAATGGAGCATAGGCCGCCGACCAACATTCTCCAACCCACTCTGTCCTGGGCCTACCTTCCTAGCTCTTTCCAATAATTGTTCATTCTTCTCATGTCTGTTTCCATTTTTCGGCATAATGTGTTCTTTGGTCTTCATCTCCTCCCTTGGCCTTGAGGATTCCATATGATGGCTTACCTGGTGATGTAGTTGGGTGCTTTCCTCAATGTGTGTCTTATCCACTTCTAGCGCTTCTTCTTGATTTCTTCTTCCTTTGGGATCTGGTTTGTTCTCTCCCACAGTGAGTTGTTGTTGATAGTGTCTGGCCAATGGATCCGAATTATTTTGCGTAAGCAACTGTTAATAAACATTTGTATCTTTTCGAAGATGTCTTTCGTAGTTCTCCATCTATCGTGGAGAACTCTTAACTAATAGAATTACTGAGTCATTGTGTAATAGTATAGTTTTAATTTCAGTAGATTCGGAATATAACTCCATGATCATCTAATCCACTTAATCCTAACTGTTTTATTCTCGACATATCTACACAGCACTAATTCTAACTAGAATTTCAGGGAAATTTTGAAATAAGTCATTAAATAGTTAACTGTTTCAATTTAGTTGAAAGGATGTTGTGTAGGCTAGTTCATTCATTTGTAATTAGGTAATTGACATAAATGATTTCAACGTAATTCATGTTATAAATTAACATTATAGTTGAATACATGAATACATGTACGTATGTATATACATATATGTACAAGTGTGGGATTTTCATTACAACTAGTTATAAGTTCCAAAACTAAGAATAAAACTGCAAAGAAAATACATAGTCTTTACCTTTTCCATAGACACATACATAAACTCGATACAAACAATTTCATATCAGAAGGGTTTTTGTGGATATTATAATAATTCCAATGGTTGAAATCAGGAGTCACATGAAGCTAGACCACTATGGAAAACCTGAAAGCACTAGACGGTCGTTTCGTCCTATTTTGGGACTTCTCAACAGTGCTCATCCATGATCCCGCCTCGTGAGATTCGAACCCAGGACCTATCGATCTCGTGCACAAGAGCTTAACCAGTAGACCATTGAATATTTGACAAACCGACAAGAGAAACCATTTCATTAACAATGAAAACAAATCTCTTTAATACATGTATTTAAACATATAGACAAATATAATTGTTATATTGAAACCAAATACTCATATAAATATCTATCTACCTATCTATCTCATTAACTATGAGTTATTTAAATTAACATTTGTCATAGTAACAAACAGAGAATAGGATAAAGTGTATATCAATAATACTAATGTTTATTTGTAACAATATTGGTGAATATACTAATGAAGTGAAAGGGGGAGGGAGAAAAACAAAAACGAAAGAAAAGGAAGTAAAAGAAAGCAAGGAAGAGTACAAGACGATAGAAGCGAAACTTATTTATTTCACCTATGTAAACTTGTCATAATTGTCAAATAATTTCAGTTAAGATTTAATTTATTAAGGTAAAAAGAAGAACAAAGGAAAAATAGATAGGAAATATATATTTTCTCTATACACATGTTTGATAAGACAACTCATTCAAGTGGATAAAAGTAATATATATTGAAGTATTTGAAAGTATTGTGACCCCTATACTAAATGATTTAGTTGTGAAACATTCATTGTCCTTCTAAATAACATCATCAGCAGTATGTATTTCAAAGAGAAAATACTTCTCTCTCAGAGATTATAATACCTCCAATATCTTCATTCTAAGCTGTAAATAATCTCTGTCATGAAGCTGGGTAACACGGTATCGAATCCGCCAGGGAGAACCAGTTCCCTCAAGATTACAGGTACACCTTGCTGACGAGTGCCAAGTAGCACGAAACCCGGGTCCAGGGTTTCCTGTTGACTACCTCCAACCACCATCTAATCTCAATACATAGTGCCCGCAGTGTCGAGTCACCTAGACTGGTGGCCACATTGCAACATGATCGATAGCATTCGATCTGCACTAATAAGGACTAGACAAGCATGAGATTGATCACCACCCAGTGATCAATCAATTGTGAATCCTGTCATCTCATGTAGAGTATTTCTTTTTACCAGTTTTATTAATTATTAATTAAATATCAGAAGGGGTTTTGTGCATATCATAGTAATTTTAATGGTTGAGATCTTCAGTCAGTTGAAGCAGTGACCAGTGGAGTTCAACCAGGTCTGTTGTGAAATAGTAACTCACTGATGACAATGGTGGATGTGTCGCTCAATTTCGTAAATTGATTGAAGTTAGACATTAAAACCATCGGATGTCAACTCAGTGGTTTAGTGGTTAAGCGCTCGCGCGCGAGACTGATAGGTCCTGGGTTCGACTCCCACGAGGTGGGTTGGTGGATGCGCACTGCTGAGGTGTCCTATACTAGGACGAAACGGCCATCCAGTGCTTGCAGGTTTTCCATGGTGGTCTAGCTTCAACTGACTCATGATCTCAACCATTGAAATTACTAATTCAATGTTAGTTCATTTATTTGTCTTTAGACCAAGTTTAATTTATTCTAGTTAACTTGAAAAAGGAGAATTATCATGAAACCCATTTTTAAGTTGAGAACTATATAGTAAGCAGACAATAATGATTATGTATTTAAAATTTATTCGACTTCGGTAATTAATATTTCATAACAAGTCAATAATGATAATGGACAGTGAAAAGTTCACAAATTATTATTATAACACTCATAGATCTGGACTGATTATGTTAGCTACTATCAAAAGTTAAAGAAATTGTAGTTGGATTGATTAGAATAATTCAACCCCCCCCCCTCAATATCGTCTAATCAAACAATCACTGAATTCATAGTGGTATCGTGCTTCTATCTTAAGTAGTGTAGCCTTTATCCGGTTAACTTCTGTACCATCAATCATATATCATCAGCATGGGGCGATAACTGAGCATGTATAGCACATCATAATTATCTCAGTTGATAAAGATTTACAGCAGCATTAGTCTCTATCTAATAGTTTACAACTAACGTCAACACAATTTACTCATTGGTTAGACTATATACGAGCAATATTTCAAAAGCATATGTAATCAAACACCAATCACTTATCACTAATCTCTTGTATATGAAATTGCTAATCAACTCTCTGTGACTTTATTTATGGATGATAAATCTGATTTAAATTAAGATCATGAATCGGTGAATGTTAGACCACTACTGAAAACCTAAAAGCACTAGGCGGCCGTTTCGTCTCAGTATGGAACTTCTCAACGTTGCGTACCCACCACCCCGCACACACGACTCAAACCCAAGGCTTTCGATCTCACACTCGAACACTTAACCTCTGGACCATCGAGGTTTTCAACGGTGGCCTAACATTCATCGATTAATGATATCGATCAATAATAGCGATCAAGAGTATATATACATATATTTTATCATCAAATATGTTGTTACACCTGAAATATATATCGGTTTTACAGTTTAAAGTTTGATTA